AGGCTACGGGAAGACGTTCCTATACCGTATACTCGTAGCGACCTATAGAGTACGTAGCCTTATCGTATTATATATCGCGTCTTTAGGTATCGCCGTATAGCTGCTTCCTAGTAGTCGTATAGCGCACTCCCGATTTAAACTTCCTTTAAGTAATACCGGGCGGTAGGACTATCCTATTATATAAGACATAATAGACGCTAAGCTAATCCGAAAGACTTATCTAGTTATTTAGGACGAAGCCGCGATATAGAATAGTCGCGATATTATAGCTATATATCGACTCTTTTATAAGTTACGATTAGGTAGTAACGGCTAGGGTAACGAACTATTCTTCGTAGGAGTCCCTATCGTATTCGGCGGCGACTAGGTATAGACTCTTCTAGTGCTTCCCGAGTATAAGAAGTCTTCGAAGGAAGTAGACGTAATAGCGATTATATTTAAAGCCTTCCTAATCCAGAATAAGATTAAGGTGCTCTATCTCTAGCAAAATATACGGCTCGTAGATAGCAATCTATAGAACGTCGACTTCTATCGCTAAACCCTCTATATTATATACGACGACGTATTCGATCGATTTATTAAGCTACTAATATACGTCGGAAGAGTCTAGGACCTTAGCGAGCTTATCGATTTCGTCTTTCTAAGATAGGGTATTATTAAGGCTAAGTACGACCTAGTATTCTATCGTTCTCGAGCTATCCTTTATATAACGAACGATACCGCCTACGAGATTAACGAACGTATCGTAGACGACCTACTATACGGTATAATTCGCGAATATCGCTACGAGGATAAGATAGAGAAGTTGCCTAGCGATAAAGACTAGCCTCCGGAAATCTTAAGCCTTTTAAAATCTATCTAGAATACCGAGCTCTAGATTCCTTACCTATAGATCCGGATAGGTATACTAATAATAATTATACGAAACATCTATAAGACGGTAGGACTCGTAAACGGAACGCGGGTTATCGTCGTAAAAACACTCTAGTTCGGGGTTAAAGTTTGGAAACTACTAGACGACGATAATTAGGAAGTATACTAGATACCGCGAATCTAGATACATTCGAACAAAGGCCTACCGTTTACCCTTAAGCGATATTAACTTCCGCTTCGACCTTGTTTCGTAATAACGATAAACAAATCTTAGGGTTAATCCCTAGTATATATCGGTATCGACCTTCGATAGCCCGTATTTAGCTACGGCTAACTCTTTATAGCATTCTTATATATTACGGACGTATATAACCTCCGCGTACTTATTAACGGAAAGTATGCTTTTATATAGGGCAGCGACTCCCTAAATAAGGTATTTCGCTTAGCTCTATTATATCTACCTAAGCGTCTCTACGGCTTTATTTTTAAGGATAGAAATCTATTTATAGGTATAACCTCTAACGTCCTATTACGCGGAGCGATATACGCTATACCTACTAGCTATACCGGACTAGCGTAGCAACCGCGACGCCTATAGGGTACTCTTAACTATATACCTCGAGCGTATATTCCCGAAATCGCTAAACCGCCTACTAGTTCTACTCGAGACGCTATAGAACCTAAAGACGAGCCTAACTAGTATACTCGAAACTTTACGGGTCTAGACCGCGAAGCAGGTAGCGATAGTAGCCTTCCGCGTAGGGTAGAAAGGGGTCCTAGGGCATTCGTACTAGGTAACGACGAAGATAGGACGTTAGTAGATACTAGAGTCGGACGATAGCTAAGCCGGCGAGAAACTACGCTAACTATAGTACTAGCGAAAACTTCGCGCCGACCGTTATTCGTAGAACTTCCTAGATACTAACTAGACGACTCCTTAGTCTACCTCTAGAACTTAGCCCTAGGTCCTAGTAACGCCTAATAGATAATACAAGTTACGGCTAAAATAATATCTTCGAAGGAGATTGCGTAGGCAGATCTAACTAAGACCTTATCGATACTATCTACGCTAGTACCTATACCGGTACCTTGTTCCGTATCTACGGCGCGTATAATCTAATAGATTTCTAAGGATACTACGCCTATTCTAGGTCCTTCGTTCTCTAGGAACCGACTATCCGGACAACCCGTATTCCTCTCGAAGCCTATATCCCGTACTTAAGACTCTACTCCGACCTCGATAGTATACGCTCTAACGCTATCTCGTACTCTAAGGCTAGGCGACGTTACTAAGGGAAAGGCTCCGGTTATCGGATATAAACAAGAAGCTAAGATCCTTAGTATGCTTTAAGACGCAGATCTCGACTTCGATATAGAAGACTTTTAGGCTACGATTAGTAGTTATTCTCTATAATATATATATATAAAACTTCTCTATCTATAGTAGTATTTTTTTCTCTTTAGGTATAGAGGTTAGCTACCTAAATACGGTTAGCGTATTACTACTTCTCCGAAGCACTAAGAATCTTGTTATTTAGCCGCTTATCCCCTATCTATATAAGCTAAGTTCCCGGTAGTTCTCTTAGTTATCCTCCTTTCTCTTCGGGTTCTCTACTATACTCCTAGCGCTAATATAATATCGAGCCTTAATATCGTACCTAAAGTAGGAAAGGACTACGCGTAACAGTTCGTATAAGTAGTAGTAGAAGTATATTAAAAAGGTGAAATTCAAGAAACTAGAACTACGGACTACGCGCTAGTAAAGAAAATTATAAGCGGTAAAGGGCGAGATCTAGTATTTCGAGAGGGCTATATACGTATACTAGGAGAAGGCGTAACGTAGAAGGGTACTAATAAGAGAGCGAGGCGAGCGGCGCTAGTCTATATTCTCGGTATAGACGCTAGAAGTTGCGCTATACTAAACTATCCCTTTCCTTCGAAATATAGAACTTACAAATCTAACCGTAGTTATTTCGAAGGGTGCCGTTATTCCTATAACCTAGCGCTAAAGCTACTATATAGTAATTACGCTTATAGAGGAGATCCTAGGAGCTATACTAGCTATATAAACTATAACTAGAAGAGAGTAGTATTACTAGAATTCGAAGATAGCGGGCGGGCTTCGAAATCGAATACTCGACCTTTATCTACGGAGTACGAATAGGAAGAGGGCACCCTAGAATATTAAGAGACTATCTCCGCTAAGGATACTAGCTACTAGTAGGAATATAGCTTTACCCCGGACGTATCTTAGAAAGCGGAAGAACTTAGGCGAAGTATAAGCAAAGTATAGCTCTAGCAACTCTTCGAGTTTCTAGTAGAATTGTTATATAGTAATTCTCCTACGTTTCCGACGTAGTATATTCGAGATATATATTACAAGAGTATTAGCGAGATTGCAAGCGGTTATATACGGAAAACAGGTAATAAGCGAGCTCGTATAGGAGTCGTCGCGGTAGTAGAGCAGACTTAACTAGATTAGGTATATATTTTAAACCGACTACGATACGAATAGTAATAACGGCAGTAACGTACTAAGAAACGCGAGATTAAACATTACTAGCTTCGCCGACCGATATTATAGGCCTAGTATATATCTATTATATAGGCAGACGAGATAAAAATAGAAAGGAGAAGATTATAAGTTACTTTATAGATTTTATTTTTTATAGAGGGCTAACTAACCTCCGTAGAGTATATATATCGGTCCGCGCCCTATAGCGTAGATAGTATATCTTATCTTATTTCCTATCGCGTTTTCTAACTTTTAACTTCTTAATTAGTATACTATTCTTAGATTATCGCGTTCTTACGAGTAGCGGCGATATAGATTCCTATAGTAAATCGATTGCTAGGTCCTATCTAAAAGAAGGGGAAGCTAGCGCCGAAGTCGTAAGTAAAGTCCGAGCCTAGAAGGGTAGCGTATAACTAGGTATTAATAGTAGAGGTGCCTAGCGACTACTAGTACTTAATCGTCTTAGCGCCCTCTTAGAGGACAATAGTATAGTTAAAGGTAAGATAGCGTACTACGCTACTAACGAAATATATAAAGACTTCGCCTACGACGAGCTTTAAGAGTTAATATATCTAGTAATATATATTTATAAACGAGACTTACTAGAGTCGCGACCCTCTTAGAGCTAGTCTTCTTAACTAGAACTCGCTTTATAGAGTAAGGGGGAGACTCGTTAAAGGACGTACTAGCGAGATCGATAACCTTCTTACCTTTAAATACTTAAGCGACTAATACTATTAGCGACGCGGTTATAAAGGTTTAGCGATAATATTAAACTTACCGGTAGCGCTCGAGATCTTACTAAGAGTATCTATACTTACTAGTATAGCGGGTAGATATAGTTACTAGCTTAGGGAAGGTAGAGGGAGTAGTAATAAGTCGTAGAGATAGTAGTAGTAGTAGAAGTAGTAGTAGTAGAAGTAGTAGTAAGTAGAAGAAGTTATTATTAGAAAGGCGCGCGATTTAAAAAGTGCGATTTATAACGATTTCCGCCTTATTATCTAGCGCGGTACGGCAATAGCCGCTATAGAATCTTCTAGAATCTAGTTTACCCTACCCCGCTCGTCGCCTTAGCCTTTACTTATAGCTCTTCGCCCTTTACTTATAGCTCTTCGAGCTACATAAACACTAGTCTGAAGATGGAAGGTCGGCAGCAAGATAGAGTTTCGAGTGATTAGTTAGAGTTTTGCCTTAGGACTTCTATCGACTTCCAACCTTCTTCACTTCTTCTTCTTCTTCTGTTCTTCTAAGGATAAAACTCCTCGTCCGACATTTATTTGGGGCTTTGGCAATGGAGTGTGGACAAAATGCTTTCATTGCTGCTTCTACGATACGCAACTCGCATTTGACATTGGAGAATATCACCATAGCGTCCCCTGCTCAGCTGGCTTGTGGCGCAAGGCATCATGCAGCTGCACCAATGAGGGCCTTTCCAGTGAAAGGCGGGAAGTGCAGATGAGGGCGCCAATTTGCGGCTGAGAATGCCCGGCTTGGGCGTCAGGTGTCTGACGAAAGTCACGAAAACCCGGATGGTTAAAGGCGGGAGCTGTCCACACCGTGATTCGCAGAGCCTTGCTGTTCAACATCACTTTCTCATCCATATCTACGACCCATGCCGCCCGATCTGGCACTCGCGGAGGCAGCAAGCATGGCGGACGATCTTAACCCTCCACGAGTGTCGTATCACGGCAATGTAGCCAGAGGTCAAGCAAGAGTCCTTTATGGTAATGTGCACGGGAATGTCTACTATGGAGATGGAGTCCAACCTAAGCGCGACATAGCCCGTACGCGTGGCCGTGGCTGCTGAATTTGTTCAGTAACATCTGCTGACTGATTTCGCACAGGAGAAATCTTAGCGAGTCTGCGCTTCCCTGGGATGGATCGGTACCACGAGCGACCTCTGGACAGCTTTCCTGGGACATATGAGTGGATATTTGACGGCATCTCGACTAATTTCAAGCAGTGGCTGACAGGTTCCGACGAGGTATACTGGGTAAACGGCAAGGCAGGCTCCGGCAAATCATGCCTCATGAAGTTGATCTCCGAGCATGATAGAACAGCTGAGTTGCTGGAAGACTGGGCAGGCGGCCAGGTGACCATCGTGCCATTCTTCTTCTGGGCAGCAGGAGGCGAGCTGGAGAAATCTCAGCTTGGTCTCATGCGGAGTTTGCTATTCCAAATCCTCGACCAGTACAGCGACCTTGCGCAAATCTGCCTCCCACAACGCTGGGCTGCGCACGAAAGGCGATCCGATTACGAGAAGCCATGGTCTCATAGTGAGCTTCAGAAAGGGTTGAGCATGGTTCTGCGGAACGAACGCATGACTTCGAGATTCTTCTTCCTCGTTGACGGCCTGGATGAATTTGACGGGGATCATCAAGATCTCATTGATTATCTGGAGACCTTGAACACCTCGAAACGTGTTAAACTGCTAGTGTCGAGTCGACCTTGGAATGTCTTCCACGCAGCATACGGCCGCCCAGACCAAGCGTGGCGGCTGAGACTCCAAGACCTAACGTCCAAAGACATGGATCTGTTCATTATATCGCGATTTGAAAGCGACCCCAGATTCAAAGCATTGATGGAAAGAGAAAGATCTCGTCCTCAATCTAATGCAACTTACAGGCTTCGCCGTTTCGGAATAGAATTGCGGGAAATGGCCGAAGGCGTATTTCTATGGGTGGACCTAGTCATTAAGACTCTACGACGTGGTCTCAGCGAGCACGACACGTTGGCTGGCCTTTCAAAACGTCTCATGCTGCTACCCAAAGAGATAGACGCAATGCTGCAACACATTTTCGATAGCATTGAGCCCGTGTATCAACAGCTTGCGGCGCGCTGCTTTCTCATTTTGCATTGCACCCCTAGCCGTTGGAAGGGAGTTCCTCTTACGTGGACTGCCTATCTAGACCACGAACTTGAAAGTGCATCGTCTGATATGCCTCACTTTGACGCGCACGAGCTGGAGAGAAACGAGCATGGCCTCCAGGCTGTGGAGCAAATGGTCAGAAGGTGTTGCAGAGATCTTGTCGAGATTCATCATCATGAAGACAAACCCGAAGAGACCAAAACATTTCCAGAAGATTTCGTTGGCAACGCGTATCTTCGCTATGGACATAAAACCGTGTTCGACTTCATCGGATCAAAAATTGAAAATGGATGTCTGCAAGGTCTTGCCGGACCTGGATTCGACCCAGTGATTTCAAAGTGCCGATTGCTAGTCCAAGTCTCTGCGCCTTCCCTTCCCGAACAATTCGCCTACATAGTCGAGGCTTTCATGTACGCAACCTGTGGTCTGCACGACTTCAAGCAAAGCGAAGCGGAACTCGTATCCCTGAGCAAACAATTGATCGATATAGGTGCAGCACTGGACAATACGGGGCACTCTTTATGTGACTCTCTGCAAGGCCAAGTGCTTGAGCTTTTAGAGTCCTATATTCATTCTCAAGTTCGAATCGACTTGGACGACGACTTGAGACTACTAGCTGGTACTCTCGTGGGCTTCACTGCGTTGGTCTTGGGACAAGAGCGCCTCTTCTGGTCCTTGGTCGCTACTAACTCGATTGATGGTAGCGACAAAGCCGCCAGAACATGGATGACATGTGCGTTAAGTTATGCACTTCCCTCAACCTACGTCAGCCACTCACGGGATGTTTCGGGGACCCCAATGAAGCTATACGACAAGTTATGCGGTGTTGACGAGCACGCGCGATCTAGGGACCTCACAGAGTTTCCGCCCTCAACCCGAGGTATTTTTATACAGGACCTGTGCGGAAAAGCGTGTATGGATGCGGACCTTTTCAATCCGGATAGGTTCGATTTCGATCCGGAATTTGCGACTCATATGTCGATGTTTCTCGCCTCACGTGGCGGTGCACTGGAAACATTGCTCGTGGATAAAAAACGTTGCGAAAAAATGCTGGATTGGGGCCATGTTCACGTCGATTTGGAAGCACTTGCTTTGTCTTCTCCCTCCCCATCATATACAGTTGAGCTGAGCTGGGGTGGATGTGACTCAATGCAGCTGATCTATGATAAACCGGAGTTTCTTCGTCAATTTTGGCCGTCATTCAAGAAAGTCCGGGAATATTTTCAAGGAGTGCTTGCAAAAGCTCCTGGTACTACTAGTAGTACCGTGTTCGAGGCAGAGACTGAAATGGAGAACGAGCGTCCCGAATCTCATCCGGAGAGTGAGGCAGCTGTTATCCGACGGAAACGACGATGGTCAATCCGGGACGAGATGTAAACCCCCCAATACTCCTCACTTCCTCCACACAGCTCGACAAGCAAATCTCTCCAACCCTCTCACCCCAACCTCACACCTAAACAAATTCCCACCTTCCTTCGCAGACTCAGGATGCCTCTCCGAATCCCTCTCGGCAGCCGTCGTAATATACAAATCGGTCCCAACAAACGCCGGACAAGTCACAAACCTCGTCGGCACCTCAATCCTCCCAACAACTTCACCCTCCGGCGAAATCCTCAAGACCTGCGAGCTACCCCACACAGCAAGCCAAATATGATCTTCTACATCAATAGCCAAGCCATCAGGGACATTCGTATTGTGCTCTTCTCTACTTCCGGGTTCGAGATGGAAGAAGACGCGTTGGTTTGAAGCAGTGCCGGTTTCGAGATCGTAGTCGAAAGCGTAGAGATTTCCCGAAGCGGATTCGGCCCAGTACATGATTGTGTTGGTGGAGTTCCAGCCGAGACCGTTGGGGCAGGTGACTTTGTCTACGACTGTTCGAAGTGTTCCGTCGAGGTCCATGCAGGTTAGCTTGCCGTCTGGGCAAGGTCTGTCGACTTGGTCATCGACGAGAACGCCCTGGAAGATTCGGCCGCGGGCGTCGATTGCGCCGTCGTTGCTTCGGAACCTGGTATATCATGATGAGAACGAGATTCGTTTTAGTTTGTTGAGGCAGATATACCGATGTCCAGTTTCTTTACTCTCATAGTACTTATGAAAATAATCAAGCCTTCCCGTCACAGTATTAAAAGTAGCCAACCCGTATTTCGCCCCAGCGAACAGCAAATCTTTTTCGCCTTGGATATTCCACAGCGTCCTATAGCAGAGATCAGCTTCATCATCTCCACATCCACAATTCGACATCGAACCCCAAAGTCTCGTTCTCAAGCGTGAAAGTCCGTAGACTTTGCGCTCCTTCGGAAACTTTCAAAAACGAAACTTGACATTTTATGATGTCGACCCATCGTAATTGGTCTGATGCTTCGTCGTAAGCTGGGCCTTCGAGGAGTGCTCCTTTGAGAGCTAGGAAGGGCTTGGGGAGGCGTTAGTGGTATGGGATTTTCAGAGACGTGGTCGATGTACCTGGTCGATTTTCCAAGTCTTGATGTCTGGCATGTTGAGCTTATAGATTTGAGGGATGGTGTATTTATTGAGTGTGGATGATATGCGGTGAGGTGTTCGGCTGAGAACCTTGGAAGGTGATTCAAATGCCGATGACAGCTTGCGGCTTTTGATGCAGGGCTGAGAGGACTACCTCCATTCAGGCTCGTGGACATGAAGAATTGAGTTGCGTGAAGGTGAATAGGGATCATATTGCGACCGAGTGCACGTGATAGATTAGTAATTAGGGCTAGCTTCCGAACTTACCGATAACCAATTACGAGCACTCTACCTAATTCTTCGCCTACGAGCCTAATATAAACCCGTACGAAACTAGCCTACTAAATACTAATATAACACTATAACGTATATAAGACATTCTAAATAGCGGAGGTTGTAGCCCTGCTAATTGCGCTTTATTCTACCTATTAAATAAGTCTATACGACGTTAGCGCGTTAAGTTTTCGCTATTCTACTAAGCCGACTCGACTATAGCTATCCGGATTGCTAGGCAGCTAGCTATACTACTAGAAACACCTTAATATATAACATACCGCATCGCCTAGCTAACACTTAGAGGTCCTTCTCCTAACGCTAGTAATTATTATTTAGGTAGGCGAAAATTCCGTCTAATGCCTACTAACCGCTCTATAGCCTTCGAGGGCAATCGACAACCTTCCTATAGCCGACTCGATACTTTAAGGTCCTTCGTAGACTATTTCTAAACACCTTTTATATATAGTATAAGTCTATCCGAGGTATAGTTATTAAGTTGCTACTATATAGTAGACGCGACTCTAAAGCTAAGGTTAAAACACCTAAAAGTCGCTACTAGTACTACTACTATAGCTACTACTACCGCTGCTACTACCGCTAGCAGACCGCTAGCACTACCGCTACTACTACCGCTAGCAGACCGCTGCTACTACCGCTGCTACTACCGCTAGCAGACCGCTAGTACTACCGCTACTACTACCGCTAGCAGACCGCTAGCACTACTGCTACTACTACCGCTAGCAGACCGCTAGCACTACCGCTGCTACTATAGCTACTAGCACCGCTACTACTATAGCTGCTACTATAGCTACTACTACCGCTACTACTATAGCTGCTACTACCGCTACTACTACCGCTGCTACTACCGCTACTACTACCGCTAGTAGACCGCTAGCACTACCGCTGCTACTACCGCTGCTACTATAGCTGCTAGCACCGCTGCTACTATAGCTACTACTATAGCTACTACTATAGCTACTAGGCCTCGAGTCCTTTAAGATGTCTAACGAACCTTCTAGTAAGATAACGGTATATAATTACGACGATAAAGGTAATCTAATCCTTCCGCCTTAGTAGTAAGACGATAGCGGCGATCTAATAGACTAGGATTTAGATAATGCGCCACTTCTAGGCTAGCTAGGTTATTAGCACGCTCTAGTCGGTCTACCTCTTCCTAGATAGATAGTAGCATTGCCGATATACTCTATAAGCAGCTTCCTAAGCGATGTACTAGAGACTATCGTACGACTAGCGGATCTACCTAGGGTTAGCGACTTCGAAGATAAGTAGTCGGAGTCGGAGACTATAGATAAAGACCTTAGCGAAGAAGACGAAGATCTTAGTAGTAACGAGGAGTTAGATGCTCGCGATAAAGACAATATAGTCGATAAAGATAAAGATAAAGATAAAGAGGCCCTAGAAATAGCACGCTATACTAGTAAAGACGTTACGCTTAAGCGGCTCCTCGACAAGTATTATAAGGAGCTAAAGGATACTATAGTAAAGAACAAGGTTAGTATAACCTACTTCGTTAAGTATTTAGTCGGCAAGCCGGGCGATAAAGCATCTGCGTCTACTAAAACTCGCAAGACTACTAAGCGCTCTAAGCAATACGAGAAGAACCTCTAGGCTATTATCGATGCCTTTCTAGAAGATCGCCTATTTAGTACTCGTATTGTTCGCAATAAGCTAAAGAGCCTAATTAGTAAGGATTTGTTTAGTATATATAAACCGGAGTTCTATACCTTCGAAATCGACCTTAGAGATATAGACGATGCTATCTAATAGGTCGCTCCTATATAGCATTAGTTACTCAGCTAGGATCTGCTACCTAACGTACGTCGCGATTATTACTAGTACTAGACTAAGTTCGCGGACAAGCGTAATGTTATATAGAAGCGTACGACGATGCTAACCTCTTAAGTCCTATATTCTATGTCTTATATTAAGGCATTATTCTTTCTAAAGGCCCTTAGAATATTCCTCGTTAGCAATAGTACGAGTCGTCGTACGATCGAGGTCTTAAACAACCTAAACATTACTCTAGCATATTAGACTATCTAGATCTTAATAGATAAGAATGCTAATTATATAGAGACGCAAATTGCTAAGCTGTGCAACTACCCCGACAAGTAGTATAGTAGTACTGTCGACAATTTCAATCGGATATAGAACCGTACCGACTAGGCTACTAGAGATACTAACTAGATAGTAGCTATAACTACCTCGTATGTAGCTGTTAATAAGCGCATTCCGAAGGGTAGCCTAAAGAAGAAGATGATCTATTACGATAAGCCGCTAAACGCTAATAATATCTTTAAGAATATCTATAAAGATAAGGCAATACGACCGGATAGAAAGGAGGTTTCTAATATTAGTATTAAGACTGCGCTCTTCTATATCGATAAGGCTATTGCGTATACGTTTCTAGAGGCTATAAAGGCAATTTTCGAGAATAGCGGTAGTAATCTGAAGCGACTAGTATAGCTAGTAATCGATAAGTTAGACTCGGCCTATATAGAGGTATATTCGTAGCCTGTTTCCTTTAATAACGAGGCGACTATTAAGGGTATATATACTATATAGGACGAGATCCTGCTTAAGTTCTAGGACCTAGACCGCGATAAGGACTTTGCGAGCGGGCTAGAGGGACCTCTATATATATAGAATAGCGACAATATAACCGTCGTACGTAGGCATAGCGTATATAACGAGAGTGTCGAGAATAAGGACCCGTACGACAAGCGCGACAGCCTCCTTATATTGCTAGCCTAGTTCTATACTATAATAAACTGTATATTTACTGTCCTACGTACGTACTAGGATAAGAACAGCGATAGGAAGCCTCTTCTAAGCGCTTAGATAGCAAAGGGCGATGCTACATTCTAGTATAGCGAGAACAAGGTTAGTAGTACTAAGCTAAAATTCTTCGAGATCCTTCGGCTTCTTAAGACTATATTCCGGGCTCGTAGTGTCGGTGCGGCTATTAAGTAGTTGTCTAAGCAGGGCCGCGTTGTAATCTCTAGTAAGGAGAGCCGTATAGATACAGTTAAGGAGGCCCTGTCTAGGCTAACCGCTTAGTAATACCTAGAGATAGTATAGGATATCTATAAGAAGCTCCTATTTGTCGAGGCATAGCGTAGCTTGCCGTACCGCGTTAGTAAGCCGGTACCTAATACTTAGTATACTACTATAGCTCGGATAATATAGGAGATTAAGATATTCCTTACCCTACGCCTCGGGGTCCGTAACGCAGATATTAGTTATCTCCGTCGATCCGTCGACTATCTAATCCCTAGTTTCCTCGGTACTAAGTAGGGAAATTATAGTCGGATAATAATATATAAGCGATAGCTGCTTAGTCTAGGCTGTAATAATGTCCTCTAAGAAGCTATTCTGTCTTCTAGCATTATTACTAATAGGAAGAAAGGTTATATAATAGCGGCGGATAAGTAGCTCGAGATCTATAACTACGAGTACTTAGAAGATATTAATCGTATCGGTAACTCGACTTATAACCTGCTAGCAACCTTTAAGAAGATCGCACTTAACCGCGAGCCGGCTCGTATACTGCGTAATATAATAACCTCCTTTACTAGTATTAAGCTAAGCAGTTACTATACCTATAAGAATACGGCTATTAACGTCTTTAGCCGCGCAGAGAAGCTGTTCTCGGATGGCTTTATAGCTCCGTATAGCAATAACGGTAGGCATATATCGGACGATATCTAGTAGCTTAGTAGCGATTAGATCCGCGAGAAGGTCGCTATATTCAAATAAAGCAATAAGGAGTACTTCGAAGGTCGTTCTACCGTTACGGATGCGGTCGTAGAGGATATAGAGGCTACTAAGGCTAGTCGTAAGGCTACGACTAATCGTAGTAATATATAGGGTACTGCTATCGATAAGACCGACTCTAAGTAGGTCGATACTATCTAACGTACTAATAGATAGGCTTAGCTTATCGATACGGAGGTTGAAGTAGTCGATACGATAGGCGGTAACTAAGATATAGATAAGGGCAGCGGTTGTAGCGACTAAGGAATAAATAAATATAGCTTTTATATTCGTTTATAGTAATCTAACCTACTATATCTACTATCTAGGCCTTCCTTACTAGCTTTATCTCTTAGGTGCTAGCTTTATCTTCTAAGTGCGCTTACCGCCGACAACGATAGCCCCGTTAACTAGGTAGTTAGCGGCGAAGTAGTAGCGGTAGACTAGAGTGCGTACCTCGTCGGGGGTACTTATAAAGTCGAAGGGTTTAACTAGGCGTACGATAATTGCTTAATAGCTAGCTACGAAGGGTTTAGCTAGGCGTACGATAATTGCTTAATAGCTAGCTAGGCTAGGCGTACGATAATTGCTTAATAGCTAATAGCTCCGTAGACTAGAGTGCGTGCCTAGTAAACTAGAGTGCGTACCTAGTAGCGAAGTAGTAGTAGTAAACTAGAGTACGTACCTAGTAAACTAGAGTGCGTGCCTAGTAGCGAAGTAGTAGCGGTAAACTAGAGTACGTGCCTCGTCGTAGTGCTTATAAAGTCGAAGGGTTTAGCTAGGCGTATAATAATAGCTTAATAGCTAGCTAGGCTAGGCTAGGCGTACGATAATAGCTTAACAACTAGCGTTACTCTAACTAGGGGCAGTCGGAGTCTTAGTTAGAGTAGAGGTCTCTGCTATTAGCTTCGCTATAGACTTAGTTCCTATATGAATTTAGAGCGCCTAATACTAAAGGAGGC